TTTATTATTATTACTAATTATAACACTTTTTTGCTTTTTTGCTTCTTCTTTTTTTTTTTGTTTTTTTAAATGAATAATATTAATAGTATTTGTAGTATACATTAATTCATATATTGCATTATCAAGGTTGTGATTGATTTAAGCAACGAGGAATAAAATACCTAATTATACTTAAAATACATTAATATAATCAAAGTATGATAGCACTAATTAAGCTGTGAAAAATATCAGTTAGGAAACAAATTAATTAATTTTACTTTTTTATTAAATGCTATTTATATCTCGCCTTATCATTATTGATATATGAATTAGGAAAAGTAGTACAAGAACTTTTATCTTTTGCTTTACATCACTACTTTCCCTAATTTATATATCATTAAATCTTTAATTAAATCACTATCCTGGACAATCTTATCAATTCCGTTTTTTTTTTTTGCTCAATCTTATCAATCCGCATTCTTTTTGGTGGACTTCTCTATCTTCCATCATGAATTATGAATTGTCATTTAACTTTTTTATTGCCGTTGGTACTGCTAAGTCTCCCTTATTTCCAAAATCAGAATGTTTATCACATTAACATAACTGTTTTCTACTGTTGTTTGATAGAATGTTTGGTGGATGAAAGAAATTTTCTAGATAAAGATAGATAAAATGCTACGAAAAGATTATCTCCATATTTGTTTTACTGGCTTAGGTTAACGATAATCTTGATCACTCGGTCTTAAAGAATAGCTTCAGTTACTTAAACTGAGTTACTTCAAGTTGTTTACCATGTCCAAAAAGCAATTTAGTAAAGTAAAACATTTTGGTGATCGAACTTTTGAGTTATTGGTTGTTTATCTTCGAATAAGTAATGTAAAATAAAGCTTATGGACCGTGGTAGTTGTTTCATATCCAAGTAAATTATCTGGTTTGATGAGTTTTTGTTTGTGAATCTTTTTTTTCTCAAAACATTTTCCTCCATTTTTTTTTTCATTTCCATTCGTGAAAGTGTGTCAAGCTTGAAATGGTAGATTAAATAGTGGATTTGCTGACTAACAATTCTTCTATCTTTTGTTGCTAACGACAATTTTAGAATAGTTAACAACAGTTTAAAATTCTATGCTTGCGTAATTTACTTCATATTTAAGTTTGTCATTAATTGCTTTACCGCATATAGTTGTAGAAAAGAAAGAGAAATCCCCTGATATATATTTCAGACATGTTTTGAGAGAATTTTTCATTCTTATTCATCTCTAATTCCTAAACCGTAGTGGATTTTTTTTCGTTGAACTAGCAACTTATTTTAGTTCGCTGTAGATACAGTTATGCTTTGACTTTCTTTGTTAATTTTAGTAGTTTAGTTGGATGGTGCTTAATAACTTTTCATGGTTCTTTTAAATTACTATGCATAATATTTTGTTTAAGTTCTACCCGGTTGTTGTCTCGGTCGAATTTTCGAACTAAAATGAGTTTCTATCATTCAGTAATCGATCTCGTGAAATGCATGGTCAAATAAAAATCAGTTGAGATGCTCACCTGGACAGCAGTCATTGTTTTTACTTAAAGTTTCTGTCATTTTTATCGTAAGTGTTCTCAATTTCTCAATTTTTAGGTATTGCGCCCGGCCACTCGACTAGTTGAAGTTGCACGTCAGACAGTGCCTTCAGTTCCGGAACAACATGTGGCTGTTCATCTGCAATCTGCTAGTCAACAACTCTCTACCCAATTGGCAGAATTGCGAGTTGCTCTGAATAATGCCAAGCAGCTGAATTTTGAAATGCAATTGGCTCATTCCGAAGATCTGATTCGGGAACTAGATAATGAGCTTATTGAAATTGGTCGTGCCGCTCAAAACAGACAGCTTATCGCGGTGCCTGGAGAGTCAGCCGAAACCGCGAGTTCTAAGCTAGCTAGTGCTGCTAGACAGGTGGGCGAAGTTCAAACTTTTAAGAGGTGAGGTAATCGAACATCTCACACCTTTCATCAAAGTTCTAGTTGTAACTGTGTAATTTTTTGAAGCAGTACAGATCTTTTCATGTTTGAGATTGGTTCGACATTAACTCAAATGGTAAGTGCAGCAGCAAGCGGTGATCGTCAACATGTTGGTGCAAGTGCGGTCGAAGCAGCACAGTCGTTGCGAAAATTCGCATCTGCTGTTCATGGCGTTTGTTCGACAAGGAAAGATACACCTGTTGATAGGCTAGCTCATTTATGCTCCACATAATTTTCTCCTCGATTAGTAGTAAAGTACTTTATTACTAGCTTATCGAGAAAAAATAAATAAGCTACCTTGTACGATGTACAGGTTAGCATATTTATGCTCCACATTAATTTCTCCTCTATAAAGTGTACGATTTATCAATGAATTGTCAACATTTTAAGGTTCATTGTCTCAGCACGCTCAGTAGTTCACGATTCAGGACGTGTGTTTGATAAGGTACGTGAACAAGCAGCATCTCAGCAACTTAATGATGCTACAAAACAAGTTGCAATTTCGCTGCGACAGTGTTTGTCATGTTTGCCGGATACGCAGCATGTTGAAAGAGCTGTTAGCCAAATCAAATCTTTCAAAGTAAGTACTGAAATTTAACATTGTTCATTTCCCTTATATATTATCATATAATACTTGAAGCTCTTAAAAAATTTTAATTCTATCCAGGCACCAGAAGTAGCATCTGTCTTGGATCTCCGTGGTTCAGCTTCACGACTTATCGAAGCTTGTTCACAGCTAGCAGTAAGCTTGCAAGCACCACAGGAAACAGCAGCTGTCGATGTATTCGTTCGATCTTATACTGATTTCCACACTGCTGTTACGCAAGCCATCAAACAACAGCAGGTTTGCTCTTTGTAGTTACCGAAAAAATGTTGAAATCCATAGTGATAAGACTATTTATTTTCAGCTGTATTAACCTAATACCGAAAAACTCTACTTTCAAGATCATTTAGACTTTTATTACAGTGTTCTGGCTGTTATTGGGATATTGGGATGTGAGCTGAAAATAATGTTTTCATGATTGTGTCGTGTTTTATCTTCAGTAAGGAAAACATTCAGGATGGGGTGCAACGACAACAGTGTGTATCTTACCTAGAAACAGTCCGAAAAGAAGCAGTGAATGTAGTGTGGCGCACCCATACTGCTTCAATGGATGCCGCCAATGCATCAGCTCTACAACTACTCTCTCAGTCCACCCGATCACTTACTGAATCCGTAAATGCTATCGTTGAAAATGTAAGTCGCGAGACTCCTTGGCAGCGTGAGTGTGACGCAGCATTACGACAGATAAAGGTAAATTTTTGGGTCTGGAATTAAAATGAGATCATAGTGTTAATTCCAATGAAATTCAGCTTCGATGTCATTTGCTTCCAGTCCATACGACATATACTGGACCGGGCCAACTTGCCGGTCAATAGTGAAGGTTATTACGAAAGTTTGGATTCTGTGACTGAGCAAGCGAAGCGATTGGGTGAGGGTATGACTGGAATAGCACGACATGCAAGAAATCAGGATACTTATTCACTTTGCGAAAGTGTTCACATTGCTGCTGGTGCAATCTGTGGTCTTGCTGAGGGAGCTACTCAGGTTTATTCTTTATTTTAGCCCATTTGAATTATATTTATCTCATGATTTCTTTTACTGATTCACAACTTTCCATTCAGAGTGCCTATTTGATTGGTGTTGCTGATGCAAAGAGTCAACCTGGACATCCGGCTATCATCGATACATCAAAATGTCATCGTTCAATTGAAATTGTCAAACAAATCTGTGAACGTATTGAACACATGGAATATACCCAGCAGCAAATTCTTGATGTTTGTTATTCACCCGTACAAATATAACGTTCATATCCTTTGTGCTGCCCCACGTAGTGGTCAAGAAATAATTTTTGACTAACAGTTTATTAATATAGTAGTATATATTTAGGTGATATGAAATATTTTGAAAAAATTCTTTTAAAGATTCACGAACAACCTTTGTCTTGTTCTATATGTTATTATGGTAATAATAAATGAACATAGATCAAAAACAATCTGAAGCCTTGATTACATTATTAATTTCAGGATGCTACGGTTATTGCCAAACATACTTCAACACTGGCTAATTTATGCCGTGAAGCATCAGAACGGGCATCAAATGTAAACTTGAAGAAGCAGTTTATCAATTGTGCTCGAGAAGTTGCATCATCTACAGCCTCTTTGATAACTGCTGTGAAACAATTAGATAGCTCATTCACGTAAATCATTATTTCAGGATTTTTGTGAAGAAAAATTAGAGCAATAAGGGGAGTGCAATTTAGATCTTCAGTGGTAGCTGCTAAAACCAGTCATCTTCAGTCATTTGCAAAAAAAATCTTTAGAGAGAAGAACCAGCGAGAATGTACGGAGGCAGCACGATCTTTGTATACAGCAGCTCAACAACTAGAAATATTCGTAGATAATCCGGATTTCGCAGCAGTGCCTGCCAAGATATCTACAGCGGGTGAAACTGCCCAGAAGACCATTCTGTTGTCTGGCAAAGAAATGTTAGATGCCAGCTACGAAATGATCATGTAAGTGCAGTTGTTTGTTTCTATTTTAAGTTGGTTTTTGTGGAAGAATAAAAACTTTCTTGATTACTAACAGAAAACTGCCTTCCCAGTTTTAGATGACTTCTGTTTGCAGAACTGCTAAGCAGCTTGCTGTGTCGCCAGCGGATGCGTCAACTTGGCAGTGCCTTGCTGATCATTCAAAAGTAGTTAGTGAGAGTATCAAACGTTTGGTGACTTCTATCCGGGAACAGGCACCTGGTCAGGTCAGTTCGTTGCTATTTTCATCTTGTGATTCTGCAAATATTCATCTGTAGCGATTGGGTACTTTTAGGATAAAAATATCAAAATCAGCTTGTAAAAAGTCAATTTTTAAAGTTCTCGTTATTTTAATCTTAAAGAAGAGTTGCAAAGGTTTCGAGGATTTCTTTTTCTCAGACTTTCGTTTGAAAAAGTAGCGTTTCAGGTGGATTTAGATGCTGCAATAGTCCAACTTCAACAGATGATTCAGCAGATCGATCGAGCGTCAATGGATGCTCTTCAAGACCAACTACCGCGCGGTGTAATCACTGAACAACGAGTTCATCAGCAAATTTTGCATGCTTGCCAGTCTCTTTATGACAGGTCAGTATTGTTACTGTCTCAGTAGACCATTTCACAGTTGGTAGCTTTTCTGTTCCAAGATGTTTGTTTTTGATTCTCCTTTCTCGAATCCAATTTTCCCAGAATTGAACCATTACGTGAAGCAACAACTGGACACAGTGAAGAACTTGGACATCGTGTACATGAACATATGGAAGCAATAGAGCCATTAGTACAATCTTCTATTCAAGCGGCTTCGGTAACTTATGACACAAAATCACTAACAGCCATATTTGAACAATGCAAAACTGTTGTTGAGGCAGAGCTACAGATGCTTTATGCGTGTAGAAATGTCAGTGGAAATCCAAAGGTTTCTTTTTCATTTCATGTAAAGTTATGAATGAAGTTTTGTCCGTAAATTTAGTTTCAAATTAGATTGGGAATTTTTTCTTTTTCTTTTTTTTATTTTTTGCAGCTCATAACTGTCACATTCCGTTTCAGGCTAGTAACTTGCATGTAATACTAAACGATAGCGCTAGTCAACTGCGTGATGCACTTACTGAAATGCAACGCAATATAAATCGTATGGCATCTGAAGCTGGTGTTATTCTTGGCGTTGTAGAGAATATATCTAGGTCGATAGCTCTCACTGATGAGGCCACTTCACAAACAATCACTGGAACATTCACAGATGCACAAACGCGTATGATAAATACGTTGGAGGAAATATCACGCCTAGCTACTGATATGCCTCTTAAGCCTCCAGAATCGTTGGGATCGTTGGCGTTGCGGTTCTCTGAACGGTACTTTTTATCCCCACTGGGTTTGCTTTATTTGTTTCTTTTTGACTTCGCATATTTCATTTTTCATTTTAGCTATTCGGATCTGGCCATCGATTCACGCCTTGCAATTGGAACATTATCTTCTCCAAATCTAGCGCAGAAATTGCGAGTAGCGGTGCAGAAATTGGGTACTGCATGCATCGAAGAGGTTAAAATAGCTGGACAGCGCCGCACTCACCCAGCTGATCAGGCAAGTATTGTGAAAGATATTTAGCAGTGAGGGTATTCACTAATATTAGAGTTATTCGGAAGAGAAGGGATAATGTTAATAGCACTGGAAGCTGTTAACTTTTTAGAAATGAAACAATAATTGTTCTACGAAAAGGCAGTAAAATGGGTAGATGAGAGATTAGAGTGGCGAACGGATGAGTGTGGCAGAAAGTGACAGATGAAGGTAATTTGGATTTATAAGCATTACTTTCAATAAATCAAACGTCTGTGAGAGAAAGGAAAGGAAAGACTACTTCATTCCGTTATCATTATCGAAAATCATTTATATGATTGGATTCGTATTGAAGACTTTCCTGTTAAGATTGAATTCTAAATTTCGCGAAGGCTTTCTTTTTTTGTTGACATGTTTCATTCGAAAAAGTGTTCATACACCTAGTCATTAAAAAATCAAGATTTTCCGGTGATACGAACGCATCAGTTCCGAGAATTCCGTACGAAAAGTAAATAATTGATTGCTTCAGGGAAGAGATCTTTTTTCTCAAATCGTCTATATGTAAATTTATTAAAGTTTCTCATTCATCATTTTATTAAAGTTTCTCAACAGTGGTGTTGACTGCCATTTGTTGAGTTGTCAAATAGAATGAATATGTCTACTAGTGGCCCTAACTCTTTTGCTGCTTAAAATAACGCTAGAAAACTGAATAAAGAAAACATAAAGATAGAAGTTTAATCCGTATAAATTAAGAAAATATGTAAGTCATTTTTCTGTTTTGCACTAAAAGTGTACATAGGTATTTTTGGAGCTTTTAAAACATTGCACTTCATGTTAGATTTAAAAATATTTCAGCGTGTACTAGATGATTTGTCTCGTGGATCACAAACGGTGGTAGAAAGAGTACAGGAAGTCCTTGCAGCGCTACATGAGGGCTCACGTGGCACGCAAGCATGCATTAATGCTGCCAATACTGTATCTGGTATCATTGGAGATCTTGATACAACGATTATGTTCGCCACTGCTGGATCGTTGAATCCACAAAGAGATTCTGAAAAATTTGGAGACCATAGGTGAGATAATGTAATTGAAACTTGCTGTTTACATAATTTTAGTCGTATTAACATAACATAATCTAAAGTTAATTCTAGGGAAGCAATCCTAAAAACTGCGAAAGCGTTAGTAGAGGATACGAAGGCGCTTGTGGCAGGTGCAGCATCAAATCAGGAGCAACTAGCAGTTGCAGCACAGAATGCTGTGCGTACTATTGTCAATTTGTCGGATGCGGTTAAAAATGGTGCTGTTTCATTGTCCTCCGATAATGCTGAAGCTCAGGTTATGGTCATCCATGCAGGTCCGTTTGGTTATTGTCAATATCTACTTATTTTATGGAAGAATATTTACGCTGTAAAAATTTATGAGAAGCAGAAAAACAATGAATTGCAGTTCGTGATGTCGCAGCTGCCCTTTCGAATTTAATTCAAGCTACAAAAAATGCTTCGGGCCGATCGTTGCATGATCCTGCTATGGGATATCTCAAAGAAGCGGCCAAAGTAATCATCTTCCTTCTCATTTTCAAGTTTTTCATTAACTTTGGAGCAACTTCCAAAAAACTTTTTCTTGGCAGTTAGAAGTTCAGAATAAATATACTTGCATCATCGAAATGTGTAATCCTTCTGTACATTATAGTTCAAGATAGATATCGTGAAGTGTGAAGTGATGTGAATAGAAATAAGTTCACTTTGTTTTCACTCTATTTTATTTTGTTGTAGATTATGGTAACAAACGTAACATCGCTGCTTAAAACTGTGAAAACAATCGAAGATGAGCATCAGCGTGGTACAAGAGCACTAGAAGCAGCTACTGAAGCTATTGGTCAGGAAATTAGTCTTTATGATAGTGGTGAAGCACCTTCAAGAGGTAATATATATTTGTTCAACACCAATAGCTAAATGTTATACAAGGTTCGGAGACGGAAAAATTGAATGTTTTTTTTTTCCAATATCGCACTCAGACAGATAGGTAATGGGGAAATTTTCATCTAAAAGCTTTATAAGGAAGACATTGCCTTATTTTTTGTTTGGTTTTATCATGTCATTCACTTTCAGTTGCTTTTAAATGAATTATATAACAGTAATTTCGATTTTTTGGTTTTCCTTGGACTCGTTTTTTCATTCTTCTTGTTGTTTATGTCTGGAAGTTTTTGTCATCTGGATGGTGATTTACCATGTCAAATTATTTCGAAGGAAAATGAGAGCTTTGAATTTGGGTGGACTTTATTCATCCCAAGGATCTGCTGATCTGATCTCAGCAGATTACTAGCAAGTTTTGAAGTTGTCAAGAATTTAAAATGTGAATATGGTTGAAATAGGCTTCAGATAGAAGGTTCTATTATGCTGTGTCGGTCAAGTTACAAATTTCCAGCATTAATAAATTACTGATTTTGAAGGAAATTTCAACATTCTATAAGCAACAGTAGCAATAGAGTAGTGGTAGCTGTTGTCGGAAAATGATGACCTCACTTCCCTTAGTTCTGCTTTATTTGTAAAATGAGTTGAAGGAGCATTTATGAAATTGTTCTAGTGCCTTGAATAAACTGCTTTCATTTCACGAGTATTCTAGAATGTTCTGTTTAGGAGGAGCCACAGCAGAAGATCTTATTCGATCAACAAAACAGCTGACTGCAGCAACAGCTCGTGCAGCAGCAGCAGCACAAACACTACAACAGAGTGATATTATTGCAGCAGCTAATATTGCCCGGCAATCTGTATGTGATTTGTTAGCTACCACCCGTGCCGCTGCTCTGTCTGCTGATTCCGCCGATGCTAGGTTTATCTTTAATTATTAATGGCACGAACGGCATAAAAATAATCCTCCCTTCCATATTTTTCGTTTAGGAAAATAAAACTACTATTTCGTTCTCAAATCCATCAGTTGCAGCCCGAGCCATTAGAACCGTATTGATTGTTGTTTATTATATGTACCTTTATTTCATCACTTTGGTACTTTGATATTTTATACCTGATAACTTCATGATAGGACTTTTTCAGTCTACTTCACTTTTTCTAGTCCCAAAAAGGACTTTTTTTCTATCATCAGGTACAGTTTTATCCCGTCTTTTATTGTTTAGGAGACAGGAACAGTGAATTAAACTTCTAATTACTAGAGGTGATAGACTTTTGATGATGAATATTGTGTCAGAAGTCGTCTTTCAGATACCGTACATTAGACTGTGGACGTGAAGTGGCTGTTCAGGTACGCTCACTCTTGATAACTCTTCAAGCGCTGATTATACGACGAGATGATCCCCACGCTCGGGATGCTTTGCTGGAAGCATCTAGACGAATTGCGAAAGTAAGTTTTTTTGGTTTTTGGGAAACGAGGTGTCAAGCAACAATATGGTCTTGCAGGCATTGAAATTATAATGAAATATCGACACAAAATTTGAACGTTTTATCGGAAAACTGACACTGGATACGTCAGGTTGTTTGCTGTGAATTTTGCTATATTTCAGGTGGTTGGTGAACTTGTGAGTTGTGGTGAATTACTGAAGGGTAATTCTTGGACTGACCCATCGGATCCAACAGCAGTTGCAGAAAATGAGCTCATCGGCGCGGCAAACTCTATCGAAGCAGCAGCTGTGAAACTCTCCCAGCTTAGACCACGTCAGACTCAGGTAGAAACAAAACTAAAATTGTACGCGTTCAGTTTTTGGTAGTTGATTATGGGACTGTTATATGCTTTCGAAATCGAGATTCGCTGAGCTTTCCCATAGTTTTAAGTGGCATGCTTTATTAAAGTGTGTAGTATAGATTTCACGTTATTTTGGTAACATATAATGTTCTGGTAGTTCAGCTGTCTTGGTTGATTTTCTTTTATGATCTAATTCCTGACAGCCTGGACGAGATGCAAAAATTTCCCGGATTTTTAGTTATTTTAAATTTTTACGCATGCGGTAACAGCAGTAGTTGGATGTGTTGTTTGTATGACCCAGCAGTAAAGAGATATAACTCCTGACCATTATGGCAGCACTTCCTGCATATGCAGTGTTGATATGTCTGATATTCTTGGGTTGTGCAAAGTCAACCAGCATCTCAGACGTATCGGCCACTGTGTATTGCTCCGTATCCATCTAGCCTTCCTAACCCTATGTTAATGTGATTTGGCATTGTTGTGGCTTTATATTGTGTGCTTTGTGTTTACCTGCTTTAGTTTTTTTTTTTTTTTTTTTTTTTGTTTTTGTTTT